CAGTCACAGTCGTTTTGGCTCTGTCTCTCACCCTTGAGAGCACTCTCTCAACCCCACCTGAGGAGGCAGGCCTGTGAACCTTCCCCACACCCTTTAGTAATTTGATCAGAGTGCTTTTGGGATCTTGACTTCTTACATTTTTCTGAAGGCCATAGCCTTCCTGATGTGTATTTGGAAAAGTTCAAAGGTCAGGTCAGTTTTAGAGGGCACAGGCAGGGAATTTGGGGTCACCTGTGTTTCCTGCTGAGGTCAGAGAGCAGGCCTGTCTCCTGTTGAGCCTTTGCTGGCTGTGGTGCCCTCCCCTGCAGGCAGGCCTGGCTTCTCCTCACCATCCTGCCCACTCACACTCCTGTCTACCATGAAACCTGCCAGAGAGAGGCTTATCTCTGAAATCTTAATAGTACTTTTCTTTTTTCAGTGCTAGAGATGGAACCCAGATCTTCTCACACGCTGAGAAAATGCTCTGCGCCTGGGCTACATCCCTAGCCCAGAAGATAATTTTAAACTAAGGGTGGCTCTTTCAGAAAGCATTTTACACAGAGGTCTAAATGAAAGCCTGTCTCTATAGGAGATGAGGCCCTGGATCTGAGGCCAAGGGGCCTACTGTCCACTGGGTCAACAGAAGGCTACAATTTGATTGGTCTCCACTGCCTTGAAAATAAAGGAGAGGAAGAGGTGGGCCTGCCTGGCCAGGTATTCCTGCAGAGCCTCACAGGATGCTCACAGAACCACAGGCTGTCTGGATGGGATTGCCACCAACTCTGTGCTTGGTTCCCACATGGTTGTGGAAGGAAATGGCACCTCAGAGCCTATTGAAGCCCCAGGATTCTGCAGATCCAACTCTATCCCCATCCTACTACAGATGGGCTCCCAACAAAATTCAAGGAGTGTCTCCATTTAGGGCTTAGAACTGAGACCTAATGCATTTCCCATTTACCTGGCTCTCAAACAAGAGCCGACACAAGCTGTTGAGTTGACTCTCCCCATTTACTTTACAGCACAAGTGATGTCACCATTCCCCAGATACAGAAATTAAAGTCCCAGGCTCGAGAAACCACACGCCCATGACCTCATGCCAGAAAGCTGTCAGCTGGGCTGGACTCAGCTCTCTGACCGAAAGCCACCTTACTACCCCCACTAACAGATTACCTCTGGCAAACCCTTGACCCCAACCTTCTAGAATGGGGTAGCTGTATTTACAGTCTTTAGATACGGCTCACAGTGGGCTTAAATGCCACCAAGGTGGTATCTGTTCCTTCCGTTAGAGCTGTGCCCAACCTCACGGCTTTCCTGGAAGGAAATGGTTCCTACCACTAAGCCTAAAATCCCCAGGGATTCGTTTTGTTCCATTTCACATAATTCTACCCTCCACAGCATCCCCGATGCACCCTCTCCCGCAGAGGGCTTCACACCCTTGAAGGCCTCAAATACAGTGATCTGATCCCATTTAAAACTTGGCAGAGGCCAAAGTGTGGTTCTTCTCATCCGCAGTAATTATTCCATCCCCTGTCCACACATTTTTCAGACATTTCATCTCTAAACATCCTCCAATTTGGGGTATCTTTCTGGAACAGTGGCTGCCAAGAAACTAAGGGAAAGATCTCATTAGGAGTGGGGGTGATCAGAGTCCATGTGCTCACTGAGGAGAGCCATGATCTGTCAGCAACATGGTCATCTGGAAGGCCTTACTTCCTCTCTTCTTGGATGTCTGGACAGGAGTCGGAAGGTGGAGAGAGCTAACTGCCTAACTGGGCACAGAAGGCTCTGAGCTGGAACATGAGTGGAATCTATTCACCCATGTTCATATTGGCTGCTTTTTACCAGTCGAGTTCAGCTTTCTATTCATTCCCTAAAGTTAATCAGCACTTGCCATGTGCCTGACTAGAGCCATGAGATGCTCTCTGGGTTAAGATGCTCTAGTAAGTGATTCTCCGGTGAGCAGCGAAGAGCTTATGGGGAAGACGTAAACAGAAAGACTTAGTCATGTGAGCAGTCAAAGCTGTGGCAGGGCAGACGGCAGAGTTCAAGGAAGGAGAGTAACATAGGGCCCTGAGCACAGTAGAGGTTTATTGCCTGAGACGTGAGCGAGCCGTTTGGTTCCACTCTAGAGGTCTCTTTGTTGGTATGGAGGTATGGGTAATCCCTTTCAGATCTAAGCAGGAAGCTGCAGTGACAGCTACTGAAATGACTGATCCTGGTTAGGAACAAGGCCTTTAGGTAGGGAGCCAGGGCTCTTCTTAGTCTCACCTCTGAACTCCCCAAGAAGAAACATCTAGACATCCCGAGTTCTGTCTCCATCCTCTTATTTTGCTTTCTTTCAAATGTGGAGCTCACAAAGTCTACCTGACACCAGACAGAAGTGATCAGTTCAGCCAGCCTGGCTCTGTGGCTTCTGAGCTCTGTGGATTCTAGACAGTGGTGCAGCGGGAAGTTTATCAAGGTAGGCTGCACCCAGCCTCATCAAGGTAGGCAGCAGCAGGCCTCATCCCACCTTGATGGTCTAGGTTCTTTCTTGTAATTATTGTCATTAAAATTTCCATGAGTACAAAGGATATGTCTGGCCTATGTAACCCATAAGGAATAAGAATGTTAAAAAAAACCCTGTGCTTTAAGTGCCCTAGGCTGTTTAAAGAGAAAAAGTTTCCTTTCCTACCTGGAGTCCCCAGGATGCTTGTTCCCAAGCTTGCCTATAGGTAATCATTTGCTTGAATCTAGTGTGTGAGTGTGTGTGTGTGTGTGTGTGTTAGTCCTCTCTGATAGTTTTACATTCTTGTTAATTTTTATCTAAGTAACATACTATTTTAGCTTTTGCATGTGGTGGAACTTTATATAAGTAACCACACTGGATATGCTCTAATGAGTTTGCCGTTTTGGAGCAACGTCTTCTAAAGCAGTGTGTGTTGCTAATGCTATGCAGTGATCATCCCACAGTGACCTCACTATTCACCGTCCAGCTTCAGGGTAGTTTGGTTGTTTCCAGATTTCTTACTCTTTTACAGGGTGTTGTTGAGAACGTTCCCATTTATAACTGGACACACATATGCAGGGCTGTGAAACTAGAAGGGGAATTTAGGCTATGGTTTGTTTTCCAAAATGGCTGAGGCAGTGGATGTTCCCATCAGCTTGTGAAACAAAAATGTCCCCTTTGCTTCCCAATGTCTGCCTTGTATATCTTTTGAATAGTTGATCCAGAAGGCGTGGCTCTCTGTGATTCCCGAAACAGCCACCTTTTAGGTTTTGTTTTGCTTTTACTTTGTTGAGACAGGGTCTCTCTCCCTGTGTATGCTGGGTTGCCTTGGAACATACCATCTCCCGTCTCTTTCCTGAGTTGAGGAATTATGGGTGCAAGCCACCGCAGCTGGTCTCAGTTTTGGCTCCGCTGAGGTGACAAGACACTGTCTTCTCTCTAGAATCTGTTTCTTTGAGTTGGAGAGCTCAGGCACTTAAGCACTTACTAGGGGACACAAGCTTGGTTTTCAGAATCTCTTTCTAGACTCAGCTTCTTGCCTTTGCTAGAGAAAGACACAACCTGTTCCTCTCCCAGCACGGACCTTTCCACCTCCTTTAGGACCCCACTCCTTCCCTTCTTTCCTGTCATGTTCAGTGTGACAATTCTCACATCTCATACCCAAATAGCAAGGCAGCCGGTGTTGCTCACATCCCCAGTCTGGCTGTTTTCAACCCTTTTTTCCGTGTCTCTCTTCCCTTCTGGAGTCTGATGGTGTCCTGGCTTCCACTGGTACTAGACACAGGCAATGAAACAAGCCATGTCTGATAGAAGGCTCCTGAGAAAGATTAATTCCCTGAGAAAAGGAAGTATGCCCTCCCTTCCTCCCCACTGTAGATGCTTGTACACGGTGCCCTTGGTACAGCAGCGGCTGGACCACAGCTCTGAGGGGGAGAAGCCAAGTGCTCAGGATTTGGCAGAGAAATGATAGAACAAATCCTGGGTTCTCGGGGACACTGGTGAGCCACTGGGCTAATTTTAGAGCCGCTACCCTCCAGACTTCACATGTTAGTTAAATGTCTGCTCCTCAAATGGTGTTAATAGAACAATCTATTTGCAGCTTAAACGTTCAGGCTGATGGAGTTCCTCTTTTGATACGCCCCCACCTCCTTTGCTGTTATTCAGTTCACCTACATCCTCGGCTCCTCCTCCTGTTCTCTCCTCTCCCCTCCCCTCCCCTCCCCTCCCCCCCTCTCTCTTTCTCTCCCCCACCCCACAGTGTAATTCCGGTCAGTCCAGTGGCTCTTGAACGCCCTGTGAGACCTGACACTGTTTATCCACCCTCCTGGGGGACTGGACTGACTTTGGGCTCCTGCCACACACAGTCCAGGGTTCAGGCTCCAGCTGCCAATGGCTTTCTCCTCACAACCCTCATCCTCCTTCGCTGAACACCTACTACAGGCCAGGGCTGAGGCTGGCTCCTCTCAGAGCCCCTTTGATTCATTTGTTTCTGATGAAGCTCCTGTGACATAGGAAACACTGCACCCACGTCACCCAAGTGAAGCTGGGTTTGTAGAGGTTAACTGTCTGGCCAGCGGCCATCCAGCCAGTGAGCACCACAGGCAAGACTCAGAGGCGTCCACATGCCCATCATTCATAGCCAGCCCCTCCTCCAGCTCTGTTTACCCTTCTACTAGACTGACCCATTTTTCATGGCGTCAACTATAGCAAGGATACCCGAGTTCCACCTCTGTTCTCCCTCTAAACCCTAGTCTTGAAGAATCATGGGTATTTCTTTTTCATCTTGTATGTGGAATGCATAACACAAACCTGCTCTGACTTGGAACTTGCACTGTAGCCTGGATGAAGAGAGGTGACACTTTTTTAGTGATAGAGAAGGAAAGTAGTACCCAAGAGGAAGGAATGAGCCATGTGAGGCAGAGGCCAGGCGCTGGCTGGTGGAACATGGAATGCTATGGAGATATTCCAGTGCAGGACCCCTTCTCATGACCTGTCAATGGCTAGGAATTCCAAAGCCACTTGACAGGGGCCAGAAAGCTCTGTGTGTGTATAGGGCGGCTGAAGAGGGGCTTTGGATTGGCAGTCTTTGCTGTAAGGTGGGAGTTCTAGTGCTGGCTGATATGGGCCGTTAGGACAGCCTTCTCTTCTCCTGCCTATGTAGCAAGAATCCTGTTCTCTTTTGCCCAAATAGGATAAGGTTCACAAAGTTAATGCATGAAGACGTAGCATCAGGAGTCTGACATCCAGCAACTCATAGGCGAGCACTGGGAGAACTTCAAGCAGAAATCTCCCAAAGAGTGAAACAGCCATATCTTTTGGTTAAAGGGTAGAGGGTGTGGAGCACAGTGGGCAGGACCTCTTACTTTTTCTTCTAAAGCCTTCTGTATGTTTGGATTTGTTTGTTTTGTTTTGAGATAGGGTTTCTCTGTGTAGCTCTTTCTGTCTGCAAGCTCACTCTTTAGACTGGGTTGGCCTCAAACTCAGAGTTCTGCCCACCTCTGTCTCTTGGCTGCTGGAATGTAAGCGGAAGCAGTGCTCCACCACTGCCCGGTGTGTATGCCTGGATCATTAAAGTCATAGGCTTGTGTTTTGCAGAGCTTTGGTGGGGAGAGGCCTTGGCAGCTTTGGTGAGGATGAAGGGGTGGGTGTGTGGTAAGAGAGCAAATGGGTTGTGTCTCCCTTTATCCAAACCCACCTCTTCCATGTTTTTCATAGCTCTTTCAATGTAAGATTGTGTTAGAATGAAGGGTTCTTCAGCTAAAATTGGTCTAAACTGCATGATCCGGGTTAACTAATGATGCTTTAAAAGCACCTGTGTTCCCTTTTATGCCCACGCCTTGACTTCTGAGATCATGCCCTTCATTTCGTCACTGTCTTTTCAAGTGGCTGCGGTTTGTAGCAACTGCTGAGTTTGCTGCCAGTGTGCTAGACGTGAACCTAAGACCCTGCAGTCAATCATTCATGACTGACGCTCCGGTGGGAGCCTCCCAGAGGTGGCTTGCACAGCCTCCAGCACAGTGGCGATTGTAAAGACAGGGAAACATTTTCATCAATAGTTTTCTGATGTTAATCTTCACCTCCGTACTTTCCTCTGATGGCTGTGAACTCTACAGTGTAGACCTTTGCCTCCTACCCTACTTCCTGGAGGAGGAGGAGGGGAGAGAGAGGAACAAGAGAGGGTAGGGAGTTAAAGGAGGTAACCCCACGTTGGCTTAGTCACCTTCTAGTGATTCTGCTTGCAGACATGTGTCATGGTCTGCCTCCTCTGGCACTATTTTTAGGGCAGTCCCCTCATTCATGTTTCTGGGGGCTTTTAGTTGCCCTTGTCTCTGCCTGGCTGCTGCTTCATTCAATCTGCAGTTCTAGAGACTCTGCGTTCCCAGGTACTATGCAAGCATTCTTAGCTTTTACAGCTGTCTGGAAGTCTGACACTAATCCTTGAAGGTACTGTTCAAATCCCATATACCTTTAGGACGCCACCTCTCAGTTCTATGTTTTCAAGCTAGCATTTATCGTAGATCTCGACTGTCTTGGTCTTTTTGTTCGGGAGTAGGGTCTTTGGTATGGTTGGCCTTGAGCTCGGTATGTACCAGACACTGACCTTGAAGTCCTGCCTCTACCTCCCAAGTGCTGGGATTACAGCGAATGTGTCACCACTTCTGTCTTCCCAGTCTGGTTTTCTGCTATTGACACATTACAGACTGAGTACGTTATAAAGAAAAGATGGTCATTTTGCAACATGGTTCTAGTCTAGGGTCAACGTGTCTTTCCTGGCAGGGTCTTATGGCAGCACAGAGTACCATGTGCTAAGAGATGGGGAATGTAGAGAGACCTGGTCCAACTGGCTTTTATGGCAGGTCCACTTTTAAGATAACCCACTAGCCCATTAATCCATTATGTCATTAAAGGCACGAGACTTAATAATCTCTTAAATGTCCCACTTGGTTTTCTTACTATAATGGGGATTAAATGTCATGGGGATTAAATGTCAGCAAACATTTTGGTGTGTGTGTATATTTTAGGTATGTATGTATGTATGTATGTATGCATGTATGTATGTATAGCTATGTATGTACATGCACATATATGTAGTATGTCTATCTTGTTCCCCTGAAATGGGGTCTATTTCACTGAATCTGGACACATCGTTTTTCTTCTAGGCTTGTGGCTCTCAATTTTCCTATCTCTGCTCCATCCCCTCGCCCCAACATTGGGGTTACAGATGTGTACAGCCATGTCTTGCTTTTAACATGGGTGCTGGGGTTCTGAACACAGATTCTCATGCTGGCACAGCAAGTGCCTTACCCATTGAGCCACCTTTCCAGTCTCTCATCAAACACTGTAGACAGACAAATCATACTCAGAACCATATCCCTGGTTACCACTGATGAAATGTGGTGCTTCTGTGGGGTGGGAAGACCCCATGTTCATCTTTTTGGCTGGTGGGTAGTAAATGTTCACTCTGTTGACTGACTGAACTGACGATCATCTGTGGATCTCTTTTCTGTGCTTTAGAAAGTCCTGCTGGGCTGGAAAGGAGTGTTACTGACATTCAGTAGGGCATCCACATAAATCTGGTCCTGTTTTCTTCTCAAAAGACTCAGTTTGGAAGTCAGGTAAGATCTAGAGAAAGCTTCCTGGACTTGGCAGCTACTCTCTGGGGAAGGAGAATGATCATGTGACCCCCACAGTGACTAACAGAGCCAGAAGCTGCATCCCATGCAATCTGGCTCCAGAGACATTGTCCCTGCCACACACTTCTCCCAGTCTCCAGCGCCCTGCTCAATGACATCATTTAAGACTCTGCAGACCACAATTTCCCCTCAAGCATTCATGCAATTGTTTTTTCCTAGGCCCATCTTTCCTCCCTTTCTCCCTGAGGGTTGCCAGCGCTTTCCCTGGCTCCTCTGCAGTCTGCAGAAATGATTTTTTTTCCTCTCATCTCTTTCCAGATGTCAGGATTTCCAGATCTTTCAGTTGGTTTCTTTTTCTGGCCACGATCCTCCTTTTGGAGACTTTCCAAAGCAGCCACAGATTGGAAGATGATAACAGTGAATTAGTTAGTAGATCTTCTTTGATGTTATTTTGTGGGTGAACTCATTAATTTATGACAAAAACATCAAAGACCCGGGCTCCTGCACGGGACTGGGCTGTCTCAAGGCATCTGGATAATAATGATTAGTCAGATTAAATCTCAAGGCCTCTCTGCCTCTAGAGTTACAGCCCGAATGACTAGGGTGTGGGAACATTCCATCCCATGGTGTCTTAGCTCAGCCTGAGTCAGTGGGCTGTGGCCCTCTCTTCTTACTGCACCTTCTAGACTTGAGATCCATCAAGGTTGGTGTAACTACCAAGGAGGCAATGCAGAAAAATGTGCAGAGGTTGTGAAGGTCTCTTCTTGTCAATAAAGTTAGATGCTGAAAGGGACACTCTGTGCTTGCATAATGACCCCAAAGCCTTAGAGTTCTTGTCCAAAAATGAAGGTGGAAAGATTTCCAGGAAAGAGGCAGCATCACACTTGGTGCTTCTCAAACTCTCTCTGCACTTGTAGGTTGAATGGACTGGGTTAAGACTCTGGTTGGTTGAAGTGGAACTTGGAATCTTTCTTCATGGTACAGCATCTAATCAGTTTGCATCTGCGATCACTGGTGTCCTTCCTTCACTGCCCACGGTGGAAAGCTGAGGGTTCCCTACAGTCACGCCCTCTGAATCATCCTTGTAGTTCACTCTCTGTTGCTCCAGCCAAGTGTAGTAGCTCGTGTCTTTAATCTCAGCACTCTGGAGGCAGAGGCGGGAGGATCTTTGTGAGTTCAAGGCCAGCTTGGTCTAGATAGAGTGGGCCAGTCAGGATATATAGTAAGAGAGAGAGGGGGGGATTGTTTCTGAAATTGCCTGCTCTTCTCTGAACCACTGATGTTTGATGTTTCTCCATCTCCCTGACTTCCTGTCAGTGACCTATCACACCCCAGTATCTGCATCTTCACAAAGAACCTTCCTTGTCCTCTCAGACAACCATGCTCCTATCAAGGTTGTTGCTTCCTGTCTTCCTTTCTAATCAGGAGAACATTCTGTCCTACTGACAGCCTTTCTCAAGGTTGCCAGTGACTTCTCTACTGCTGAACCAGTGGTCATGAGACATTGCTTATTTTAGGATCTGTGGCGCAACAGTAGTGTCAGTAAGGTGTCCTTCCCAGCCTTCGCTGCTGGGATCTAGGGTGTCATTCTCTCGAATCTTGCACTTGGTGGTTTCTTTGTAGTCTTTTCTGTCTTCTAGTCTAGAAGTGGTGGACTCAGGATTAGTTCTTGACAACTTTCCTGGCTATACATCTTTCTTAAATGAACCTACCTAGTCCATTTTTGATGGGAAATTTTGGACAAAATCACTATTATGTAGTTCTGGCTGTCCTGGAACTTACCATGTGGACCAGGCTGCTTTACGTCACAGAAACCCCCAAACCTCTGATTCTCAAGTGCTGGGATTAAAGGCATGCATCACCATTCCTGGTTAGTCCTTTGGTTTGAAACCCCATTTGGATCTGGAGTGGTCTAGAAGTTTTATTCCTAACTCCTAATCCTTCCCTAACTCCTAAATGTCCTTCTTCTTCACCTCTCTATTCTGTTACGTCAAACTTCAGTCCTAAGTCAGCCAAACACAACTCACACCGCACGTCAGGGCTGATTCAGCACCGAGCTCCCAGTCCATCGCATCCGTAGACAAGCCCTTCACTTCCAGGCGCCTCTGATCTCAATATTGGGATAAGTCTGTACTCATTTAGATAGTACATTTAAACCCTGCAAACACTGTCAGCACATTTCCTTCCAACTGTGTCTAGAACCTGATCACTGGCTACCTCCAGTGTCATACCCTACTCTAAGCGCTCTCTCTCTCTCTCTCTCTCTCTCCTCTCTCTCTGTCTCACTCTCCCCTCCCCCCGCACCTTGTCTGGATTAATTTAATGGGTCTCAAAGCTTCAAACATCACCTCTCCAACAACTCCACCATACAAAACAAAATCCGAAAGACTAGAGTTAGAGAACATCAATGCCAGGCTGGAGAGATGGCTCAGAGATTAAAAGCACTGGCTGCCCTTCCAGAGGACCTGAGTTCAATTCCCGGCAACCACATGGTGGCTCGCAACCATCTGTAATGGGATCTGATGACCTCTTCTGGTGTGTCTAAAGAAAGCAATGGTGTACTTATTTATATACATAAAATAAAAAAAATAAATCTTTTTCAAAATGATAACATCAATGTCTCTACCCCAAGACACTACAACTTGCCATCTCACTTTCTTGATCTAAAGTTCTTGGGGCTGCAAGGTCCTAAAAACCTGGTTACTTCTTGCTTTGTTTATTTTATTTTCCAAGACAGTTTTTCTGTGTATCCATGGCTGCCTTAGAACTGGCTGTGTGGACCAGGCTGGCCTCGAACTCACAGAGATCTACCTGCCTCTGCCTCCCACGTGCTGGGATTAAAGACATGTTCCACCACCACTCTGCTACTCCCCATTAAACAACAACAATAACAACAACAACAACAACCACAACAGCATCCCATCTTCCTTACCTTTGCCCTCCATTCCGTGGACTCTGGTTTGGAGCTATTTTTTGGACACAGTAGGCCACTCCTCTTCAGGGTCCTTGAACTCTGTCCTTTCTGCATTGTCGCTCTTTTCCTAAGCATTTCTATGTCTATTTCCCTCTCTTTCTTTCAGACACTGACTCACATCTGTCCTTACTAAGAAAGTTTCCCCTGAAACTTTTCCTTCAGAAATCACCTCCCTTTGACCTTTGACCCTAGGTCCATGTCACAGTTCACTTCATTTTCTAGCAATGACCACACTCTGCACTGAACTTATTTTCTCATGTGTTACAAGAACAGTCTGTGTGTATTTAGTCATTGCTGTATCTCAAGTCTCTACGATCTAGGACTCAGTAAGGACTCAACGAACGGACAGTGACTAGGCAGACTTGTTGAATGGCTTTTTTCTAGCCATCGGGTGAACAGAGGGGTTTTCAGATGACTGTCAGGTTATAGGATTGAAGTCAGTGAGAGGGACAGTGACACTCTTGCTGTACAAGAGTAAGGAATGGCTTCAGATCTCCAATGGACACCACTAGATGACGGGCTCACATGTTAGCAGTGACTGCTGTGGATTGCAGACAATCCCAGTTTGCACATTAATGTCAAAGCACTTACAGAGCTATGAGGCAGACCGGAATATCTGCCCTTAGCTGTTTTGGCATGTAACTTATCCTTAGAGACCCAATGTGCTCTTATGGTAAATTGGCAGGTGGAGATGTCAGTGCTGTCAGCTTATGGTCTGCAAAGTAGTAGAAGATGGCAGTGTAGTCAGGGGACAGGCCACATACTGTCTTTAGAGCTTGACTGTCTTTGTCTAAATCATTCTCATGGGAGACTTCAGCCATCTTATTCTGGAATACTGAAAGGATGACTTATTCTGGAATACTGAAGGTATGACAACAATATGGAAGTGGGGCTGTGAGATGGCTTAGCAGCTAAAGTGATATTGCAGTGCAACAGTGAGAAGTGGGTTCAAATCTCCAAGGTCTATGTAAAAAAAAAAAAAGTCAGAAATGGCATGCCTGGAACCCAGTGCATATTCAGTGAGATCGGTCAGCTAGCCTGGTCTATGCAGAGGCAAACAAAAGACCCCAGGGAAGGTATAGATCGACAGTGACATTTAAGGTTATCCTCTGATCACCTTCTCACAGGCTCTGTGGCATCCAGACACTGGCACTCAGAGCATAAATTCCCCACACACGAGAGATAGAGAGAGAGAGAGAGAGAGAGAGAGGGAGATATTTTAAATTAAAAGTAACTCAATTAGTTTTCGAGATTTCAAAATATATGTGCAGTGTGGAATATACTGTCTGGTACACATTAAGTGATCCATAAATGTTTGGTATTAAAAATAGAAAGTTCTGCTGAAAAAAAAATGCTATTAATATGTCTTTGGGGTAACAAACCATCCTAAAATAGTAGGGTTACCATGGAATTTTAAAAGACATGATAATGATATTTTGATTACATAGGAGAATGCTATTTTGCTTTTTGAGACAAGGTCTCATGTCTCTCCGCCCACCTCAGCCTTGGGAGTGCTGAGATTAAAGGTGTACCATCACACCTGGCTCTCATTCTGAGGGGATGGATGCTGAAGTGTTTAAGGGTAAAACTAGAATCTATCACTTTCTAATAATCTAGTCAATTATATACATCTCCTTGCTCCTATTTCTATCAGCAAAGCCGGCAAATCAAAACCAAATGTAAAAATACTATGGCTGAGGTAGTTAGATGAAAGTTTGTGGCAAATGTTTTTTTTTTTTTTTTTTTTTTGTGTGTGTGTGGCAAATGTTTTTTTCCCCAACTTCTCTTATACATCTGGAAAATTTTAGAAAAAGAAAGGACCCTAGCTATAGGTTAGTGAAGGTCGACAAGTATATCCTGCAGAAAGAGGATCATGAACTCAGAAAGTGAGACGGTTACTCAAGGTAGGACATCAGGAGAAGCCTGAACTGGAGTCAGGTCTTTTGGCTGCCTGTTGTGCCATCTGTTCCAGTTCTATGTCATGACCGATGCTGCTGACGTGTGGGGCAGCCAGCCTGTAGAGGAAGTACCCAGCTCCCCTCAGACACAGATCTGGGATTATTATGGGTGTGTTCAAAGACACCTGTGTTGGGGTTTCCTTTCTGCTTATTAAGTAGATAAGCCATTTGATTGGAAGGACTAATGCCAAATCACCACCTTGGAAAGTGGGCATACCGGTTTGACATGTGGTTTTTGACTGGTGATGGTAATTGGGTTCTGGAGGAGTGTGTATAAACTCTGGGATGGTGGAAGGGAGACAGAAGTGTAAGGGGTGGGACCTGAACCAGGAGGACCATAAAGAAAGACTGGCGTCCATATGGAGCCCCTTGAAAGCGGGATCATAGCGGGAAGCTGGGGATGAAATGTGCCTAAGTATTTAAACAAAATGCCCTCTCATATCCACAGCATCTTCCTCTAGCTAATGGGGTTTAAGGAAGTGGAAAGGAGAAAAGAGAGAAGGGAATGTCCACATGAGGTCGGGTAGTGCTTGGGAAGGATGGGGGAAGGTTAGAGTCAGCATTTGAAGGTGTTTGGAAAGATAGAGGCTGGCGGCCTGTGAATGGTCCGGACTTCCATAGCGCAGGCTCGGGTGCCATGCAGCAGAACCCATCTGCTTTCTTCAGCTTCTGGAAGTCCCCGGAGGCGGTGGAAGCTAGCGCACGCTCTAGGCACTCCTGCTGGGGGGGGAGGGCAGGCAGGAGGCGGGGCGCTGGGCGGGGCGGGACGGGGTGGGGCGGGAGCGGAGCCGGTGGCCGCGGGCGGGGCTCCTCTCCGGCGGGTGCCGGAGTCTGGGGGCCGCGGCTTCCCCCTTCCCGCCCGCCAAGGCGCTGGCCCCTCCTTCCCCCGCCGCCCCCGAGCCTGCCGCTGCTGCCTCTGTCAAAGATAAAACCGGGCCATTGCCTGCAGGAGTCCTGGCAGCAGGCGATCGGGCGGTGAGGATCCTCTGGTGCGGCCTCGCCTCCTCGCCCGGCTCCCGCGTCAGCACCGTGGACAGCACAGACCCCCCTCTCAGGGACCCTCCGGCCCGCAGGAGCACTCTTCGGGTTTCGGCGATCTCATCAGTACCGCGGACAGCGCCCAGGCCCTCGCTGGCCTCGGCCAGCCCACCGGCTCTTCAAATCAGCACCGCGGACAGCCCCCCTGGACCAGCCCAGCGGCAGCCAAGTACTGGTCAGATCGCCCTGAAGATGGCCACTGAGGTAGGGGCCAGCACCTTAACCCGCAGGCAGTGCCGCAGGAGATGATTCTCCACTAGGGGCAGACTGGGCACGAGGAGAAAGGCGGGGGCGGATGGGGGTAGAGGGTAGTTCCCTGGGTTCATGGGGGGAGGTATTGAGTGGCGTGGCATATGAGCAGAGCTTTGCTGAGTGATCCCCTCACCTTTGACACGTCTGTCAATCTTGCCCATGCCACCCTGAGCCCCGAGAGTCTACTTGTTACCAATAGCACCAAGTCCCAGCTGGGCTGGGGTTTCCCTTTCTCCTGAATACAGGGTTCTGATTCCCTAGAGGTTTGGAGATCCCTGTACACCTGTGTAAGGGGAGGGACAGCGGCCTACTGCTGTTGTTGCTATGTGGTGCAGTATCCTGCTTCTAACCCAAATGCCTGACTAGGGACATTTCCTTAGCAGGAGAATGTGGACAAAGACATGCTTAGGCCCAGAACCCAAAGGGTTGGTTTCAATGAACCTCCTGCACCAGCCCCCACTTTTGAGAATTTCTTTCCTACTCCATTTGAGTTGCTGGTCCTAGCATACCCACATTTGCCCCTCTCTCTCTCTCTCTCTCTCTCTCTCTCTCTCTCTCTCTGTCTCTGTCTCTCTCTGTCTCTCTCTCTGTCTCTCTCTCTCTCTCTCTCTCTCTCTCTCTCTCTGTGTGTGTGTGTGTGTGTGTGTAAAGACTAAGACTGTGTTCTTCACAATGTGTCTCTAGACCAAGGGACCTGTTAGCTAAGAGCAAACAAAATCTTGGCACAATGTGTAAGAAGTTGGGGCTTGTGTCTCTGCCCCCAGAGGTTACTCCTCCTCCAGGAGAGCGCTTTACACCTGATGCAGCTGACACTGACTCGGTACCCACACAGCATGCCAACAGCAGAGCTCAAAGTTTCTTTGAATTTTTGGAGTGTAGCAGCATACTGGGTCTCCCCAGTTCTTTTGTGGTGCCTTCCTATTTCCAGCCTAGCTGGAACACTGCCAAGGAGGAGAGGAGCAGAGGCCTGTGAATGGTTCTGTGCAGTGCCTCTGGGATCCCGGCGAGTGGCATGACATCAGTACTGAGTGCTACTGCCATAATTCCACTGGACCTCCTGATGCTGCTCGGCATTGTTTGCCTCCTGATGTTACCCAAGGTTAGCTCGCAGGGATTCATGCCCTCTCAGAACCCCATGTGCAGGCAGGCCTGTCAGACCGCAGCAGCAGTTGCTAGTGTGATCTCATGGGCTCCAAAAGGCCAGTCTGCCCTACCGTCTCTCCCCTACAGGTCTGCCATGGCCCACACAGTCTACCCACAGACTCACACGTCTTGGCTGAGGCTAGGTTTCCGGGAAGCTGTTGGTAGTAGACTTGATGGCTCTCTCCTGGGAGAGGCTCTGCTCATAATACCTCTGTGGGTACAATGCCATGGCACACAGAACAGCTGTGTGTGTGTGAGCAGCTCTGTGAAGTGGGCAAGGATGGTGTTATTATCTGCAATTAATAGACTGAGGACTGAGGCTTGGAAGCTTGCTTCAGCCTGGCCAAGGAGTCAAAGAAGGCTTCATTATCCCGTTTTACAGATGATTCAACTGCAGTCTTAAGATGGTAATTCACCTTGACTCCATGACCACTATCTTCATGGTTTGCATCGAAGATAGTGTGTCCAGGTAGCCAGTATGATGCTTACTAGAGTTCTAGGAGTCTTGAGACAGAGCTTTGAGTGAAGTCAGACTTGTCAGAAAGAGCAAGAGCAGAAGCTTTAAACCTGCGGGTCACAACTCCTTTGAGACTATCAGAAATACCAGATATGTACATTATGATTCATAACAGTAGCAAAATTATAGTTGTGAAGTAGCAACGAAAATAATTTTATGGATGGGGGTCACTAGACACAACATGATGAGGTGTTTTAAAGGGTCACAGCATCAGGACCATCAAGCTAGAGGGACTTGGGTTTCCTGGCTGGCCATCTTGAGGGCAGAGGGACAGAAGACTGTCTCAGATGGGCAGGAGCTGAGGGATAACATTTTCAACCTCGCAGCTTGGCCTTGGCTGGACTCTGTTGGCGGTATTGAGAGAAGAAACTCGGGCTCTGCCAAGGCACAGGATGTGTGGTGTCTGGGCTGGGGTGACTCATCCCCCTAGGCTGTTTTTTTTACTATTAGGATTGGATTGAGATTGCTAGGAAAAACCTGTTGGGGGAAGGAAAACCTCACTCCAAGTTCCCATGGTCATTTCCTTAGTAGTCTAAAGAGGAAGCAGAACTGGGTAGGGGGAGGAGACACACACAGAGACGGGGAAGGGAGGAAAGAGGAGGGGAGAGGGGAAAGACAGCTTTCTATGGAAACTGGATTTTTTTTTTTTTTTTTTTTTTTTGCTTTCTGATTTCTGTTTAGAAGTTAGCGTTAGGGGAAGGGTGTGTGCGGGGAACACAGAAGAGGGAGGAAGGACAGTTCCTGAGTGAGCCGATGACCTCATTTGGAGAGCTTTACTGAGCCCATTCCTGAGCACTGAGCCTCTGCAGATGTGTGTCGCTAGGAGCAGGGTCTGCCTGGGAAGCAGTCCAAATGGCCAAGAACAAGTGGGAAGTAGCCCTTTGCTCGGAGGGGCATCTTGGAGTGGATTTTGGCAGGTCTTTAAGTGCACCCAAGTAGCATTATCCAGGCAGGGTATTTGGAGGTCTGATCTCTGAGTCACTGGCTTGAGCTTGGGCCCGAGTGTAGGCTGAGAAGAAGGGTGGCCCTGTGCCCAGTTTTCCACCCTCAGGCCCTACCTGGCTTCAGTGACTCATGATCTGCGTTCCTCTACTGCCACTCAGCCCATCTTGTGATTCTTGAGCTGGCCCTCACCTGCACCTTACGGAGTGAGATAGTTTTTAGTGAGGATGGATCTGTGGGCCAGCTGGGACCTCCTGTTTGTCTTGGGCATTCCAGGTCTAGGAGTTCATTGCATTCCAGTGATTGCTCTACTCAAACCCAGCCTGAGGGACTGCCAGGTGTATAGAGATACACTGTGTCACATGCTGTGCTCCATCTCTAGTTCTCCTTCCAGTCCTTGTTACACTGTGGCCTGGGAAATGGTGCTCACAGATCTCACCTCTGATTTTCCTCCTCACGAAACATCCTTGGTCTTGGCCTCAGCTGCCAACAGGCTGGGGTACGGTGATGGGGAGCAGGGCTGAGGAGTGTGAGGGGGACAGCTCAGTTCTCAGAGACATCGAAGACACCCCTGGAACTTCCCAGGAGAAACAGAGTCTGCAGCCTCAGGGAGTATTGGGGGTGGCTGTAAGAACTCTTTCCTTCTTCCCCAAGGCTAAGAAGCTAGGTAGAAAGGCTTGGGACCTGGCTCTAGCGTCTGTCTTTATTCTCAAACTATAGGAGTTAGGTCTTTGTAGACATGTGGTCTTATTTAGCCAGGTCAGTGCTTGCACTTAAAACAAAAATACCCAAAACATTTAGAAAACTGGATAGTTTATATTAAGAAATTTTGAATTTGTGGCTTCCCTTAAAAAATCAGAAGTGGCAGGTACCTGGTTGCACATTTTTCAATGGCAATGGCTGACTGGCTCTCTGAAAGACACAGGCATAAGCTCTTATTAGCCACAGGCTCAACCCAGTCCACTGACTGCTCTACCTCTGGGAATGTCTATGTCATCCATTCTTGATAAGGCTTCTTTCAAGTCAGAGATGGAAGGGGTTATTATTATGGGGCTTCTGCTTAGTATCTTTGAAGAAATGGGGGCCAGAGAAAGGCAGACTTTGAAGAGCTATACTGCCCAAGCTCAGGTTTCCTGCTGCCATGTTCAGCAAGCCATCTTTTGCTTGGCCCCTTGGTACTTCTGGATGGAACTACCATAGATGGAGAGAACCATGAAGCTCTTTCTTGCCTAAAATCCTGCTCTTCACCAACTGTGCCAGACCGTGTGATTGTGTGCATTGTGTCAGTCTGGCATGCCAAGGCTCTTACATGTAAATCATGTCTCAGCTGTTCTTCTACAGGCCAACAGACATTTTCCAGGGCAGAAGCACACACTAGTCACCTAGAACCAGGAAAGGTTCTTAGGTTGAGGATACAGCTGTTTCTAGAGACTTGAGAGTGAATGAATCAGTCAAGAGCAAATAGGTTTGTATTCTGTAAGACATCACCTAAAATCCTAGCAATTGAAGATTACTTCCTTCTCAGTAAAGTCCTGAATGGAGTGCTCTCAGTCAGCAGGCATATGGCCTTCGAGTGGTCATTTAGGGACTCAGGCTAAATGAGTTTCCAGTGCCTTTAACTGTCTTTAACACCTGGCTCCTCCGGTTTCTGGAGGAAGGGAGGTGCTTCAGCTCTGTATGAGTCAAATCAGATATTCACCCCTTCCACTAACTTTGCTCAGCCTATGGCCACGCCAACGTGCAAGGGATCCTTGGAATGAACTTAGTTGTGTTCTTAGGAGGAAGAAGAAATAGGTCATCAGCCAGCCAGTCACTAGGAGACACCCATCACAGGTTAAGGAAGCTCCTGCATCTATGTGTACACAGGTGTGTGTGTGTGTGTGTGTGTGTGTGTGTGTGTGTGTGTGTGTGTGTGTGTGGGTTCAGACAAAGGATGATGCCTGAGCAGAAAGCCAAGTCTGGCCAGAGTGGCTGAAACATTGTTTCCGTTTCCTTTTATTCTGACCACTGCCTTCCGGTTCAGCACTATTTCATGTTTATCTTGAACTATGACAGAAAGGGACCCATCCAGTGGGTCCCTCAGGCTTACCCACTCCTACAAAACTCTCAGAATGATCCTTCCGGAGCTTAAAGAATCCATGGCTGGCTCTTGTGTGCTGGCTTTGGAAGGGTAGGGAAGGCCACAGCCCCTTTCCTTTCTCAGGAAAATACATTACAGTGAAACAGTAACTAGACTGAGCGGACACATTGATCATTAACTTATATTACTAAAACATGTTGATTTAGAGCATGGATTTTTAAAAAATTATCCTAGGATCCTAGTAGTTATTAAAATGGACTTCTTCAACAAAGATCCTGCCTAGTGGGATCACCAAATATTGAGACTAGAGGAGCACTTATATGCCATTTAATTCATTCCCCAAACTTGAAGCAACGTTTACCTGAATTCAGGAGAGCCTTATATAATGTTCTCTGATTCCTACATTTCTTAGACCCTGATAGACCAACCATCCAATCCTTCTGTCTTGTCAGTCACCCTCTAGTCCTCTGCTGTTAGACATCTCCAACCTGAAATCCTTCCTGTTTGTGATCTCACCCTTGACCGCAGCACACATTTATCTCCCTGACTGTATCTATTCTGCAGACCAGCTCTGGTCTTGTTAATGCTGCCTCAACCCACTGGAGCAGAGCATGTCTTCATTACTCCCCTTTCCAGGGTCACCCTTTCCTCTTCTTTCTACTTCTGGCCAGCCCCCATCACTGCACATCCCTAACCTTTCCTTGGGGCTCAGTGCAGTCTTAAGGAAGTCCTTGTGCACAAGGATCTCTGAGTAAGTGTGACTTTGTTTCAACCATTCATCACAGTCTAATTCATTAGGCTTTAACACGTCTTCCTCCCTGGAGCCCATAGACTGACTTTTGCTCGGTATCTGGAGAGCCCGGCACTGGTAGGGACTCAATAAATGAGAGGAAAGTGACTGAACGGATCCAGCTTAATTACACAGGATGAACTAGCTTCCTTCTCTCTGCCTTAGGGCCTGGTCTCCACACAGTTCCAATGCTGGCTGTATTTCACCAATGGTGTGTTTGTCTCCAGTGTGAGTGACTGAGGCTGGATGGAGAGAGAAGAAAAAGACCTCACTCTTTTGTGGTATAGTGCCCACTCCCCTCAAGGGCCAGGCCGATGTCAAGTTCTCAGATTGAATGGAGAGACAGTCACTCCACGCCTTTCTACCAAAAAAACCAATTAATTCAGTGCCTGGCCCCAGTCCACTTAATGCTCAGTTATCTCTGGGGAAATAGCCATTCCTAGACCTTCTTTTGGGTTAAGAAAACCACTGGAGGTGTTTCCTGGCCTTCCAGAACTTGGCCTGGACTTCAGTCTCCCTTGAAGTTCAGGGCTACATCTGAGGTTTCCTCTCTTCCATGTGCTCCACTCCCCAGCCTGTTTGTGAACTCCACTTGCAGGGCCTAAGGCTTCCATCTTTGTCTGTGCTGAGCTCTTTAAGCCCAGGGCCAACCACCACTGTGCCTCTCTTCCCTTTGTCAGAATCTGTTTTTGCTGTGATTGACAGCTCTGAATGTCTCATTTTGGTGCAGTTTTGTTCCTTCGTTAGGCTTCTGTATACACGCTATAATGACTTCAGGAAGCTTCCCATGTGAGCCACACGAGGCCTGCTTCTCTAGGCCCCTGGAGCCTGGCTGTGTGGCCAGCCTGTGCCTGTGGGCCAGGATTCAGCGATCCTGGAGAGCCCTCCGTATCAGTGCACTGAGACAGTGGTCGCCTAAGCATGTGTCCCCTGTTCGTCTCCTCAGGTCCACAATCTTCAGGAGCTCAGGCGAAGTGCTTCACTGGCCACCAAGGTCTTTATTCAGAGAGACTACAGTGACGGCACCATCTGTCAGTTCCAGACCAAATTCCCGCCAGAGCTGGATAGCCGGGTAAGGGCACCTTTTGGGTGAAGACACCTTTCTCTAAGCATGAGCCCTACCTCTGTGGTGGTATTGAGAATTAGTTTTTTTTTCTTCTCCAGTCTTAAATGATACATAATATCACAAAATGCATGACTTGTCCATGATTTGTCTTGCCTCAAATGGAAGAATGAGAAATCCATTGTATTATCTTGCATTTCCACACAGAAAACTCTATGAAAACCAAACCAAAACAAAACAGAAAACCTCAGACTTGTTCCAGTCCAGCAACTCAAGTTACCCTGGCATGAGAACTCATGCTAAACAAATGTAAATTCCTGAGTCCCAGTGAGTGAGATTAAGTGTCATCCGCACTTGCTGATTCAGTAGCTGGCCTGCGGTTTAAGCATCTCCATTTGTTGGCGGCTGCCCTTAAGCTTCATTACACACTAGAATTTTCGGGGGAGCTGAAAAAACTCAATGCACCCTAAAGTACTTCAATCAGAATCCTGGGGAGTGGCGCCTAGGCACTGGCAATGTTTGATGCCTTAGTTTGCAAATTAATTTTTTAAAGTTAACTAAATAGGATTTTAACCATAATTGGTCAGACTTCAATTTTTCTTTTTTTTTTTTTTTTTTTTTTTGGCTTTTTCGAGACAGGGTTTCTCTGTGTAGCCTTGGCTGTCCTGGAACTCACTCTGTAGACCAGGCTGGCCTCGAACTCTTGAAATCAGAAATCCGCCTGCCCCTGCCTCCCAAGTGCTGGGATTAAAGGCGTGCGCCACCACCGCCCGGCTCAATTTTTCTTTTTAAATGAGGAATTCTCAGGTGAGCTAGAATTGAATGGTCCCTAGATCGTGCTTGGGCAGTAGCTGGCTGCCTATCACAGTGCCTTTTCCCACTCTCGGCTGGATTGGGGCCACTTATGAACTTTGGGAAATGGGGGGCCAGACAAGGCATCTACTTGACTAGGGTAAGGTGACAGTAGTAATTACTGCTCTGACCTAGCCCTCCCCTTCCCAGACTGGGTCAGCATCTCCTGGGGCTGAGGCTGGAGTGCAGCGTTGCCTTTAAAAATGTCCAAGAGTTGTTAGTGTGCAGCCAGCATCGAGCACCACCACTAAGCCCTTGTTTCAACATTGTGCCCCATGGCTGCCAGGGTCAGCATCACCTGGGAAGCAATGTAAGGGTTTACGGCTACCTTAGAGCTCCCAAGTATGCATAGTTTAACCAGAGCCTTACACACACACACACACACACACACACACACACACACACGGCTTCAGGAGCTGAAGAGTCCTTCAGGATTAGAAGCAGGAAGTGACTCACCAGTTATTAGAAAGTATTATAAGAGCCTGGTCACACTGATGCAAACGCATCCTGAGTAGGTACGGATGAAAGCAGATGCTATGTTATCAGAGCTGTGGCAGGGAAGCCAGAGACCCCGGGGAAGAGCTAAGGGCTGCTTTCCCATCCCTTTACCTGTCTTAGGCTAAGCGGGGAGGGAGTGTGATGTACCAACTTCATCCGATGGTAGCATCTAAGGCAGTCAGCCAAGGCTTGTGTTCTGCTCCTGTTTCTGAGGGTGTACAGCCCTCACCAGGCAGTCAGCTACCTTAGAGCTGACTTGGGATTGGAGGAGGGCAGAGACCTGGAGCTGATCTATGTTGTAGACCAGGCCATTTGAGGAAGTATGGAAGATGGCTGGTCTTTGCTAACTGAACCCTCACTGGCTCTCGGCAAACCAGGAGTGTCCCATTCTCACGTAAGCATGCTTATCCTCCGCAGGAAGTGTTAGAGCAGTGCTGGGGGCAGGGAGGCCAGAGATGAGGCCTCAGGGTTCTTGTGGTCTCAGGATCACAGAGCAATACTCACCTGTGAGAAAGAGAGTGGGGGTGACGGGAAAGCTTTGGCACGTAGAAAGTTCTCAGTGTGTCCTATTGTTATGGATACAGGCCAACTACCTGACTGAACACACAGACACACACACACACAGACACACATAGATATGCACACATACACACATACACACACACACACTCACACACACATACACACACACACACACACACACACACACACACACACACACACGACATCTGTGGTGGTTAGTGACTTCTTAGCCAGGAGGGAAATGCCCCTGGAGTGTCTCTTCTGAGTTCTGTCAGTTGCAGGCAGCTGAAGCCCAGTGCAAATCAGGCACAATCATCACAGTGGGATGTGACATCACCAGAATACACAACTGAGCTTTTGCATAAAATATCTAGGACATACAGGTTCTCAACCTGTAGGTCGTGACCCCTTTGGAAGTTGAATGATCCTTTCACAGGGGTCACATATCAGATATCCTGCATGTCAGATATTTACATTATAATTCATAACAGTAGCAAAATTGTAGTTATGAAGAAGCAACAAAAATTACTAACAGTCTACCTCTATCCCTCCAGATTGAGCGGCAACTCTTTGAGGAGACTGTGAAGACCCTCAATGGTTTTTATGCAGAGGCGGAGAAGATCGGGGGCAGCTCCTACCTGGAGGGCTGCCTGGCCTGTGCCACGGCCTACTTCATCTTCCTCTGCATGGAGACCCACTATGAGAAGGTACCAATTCTCCGTCTCCCCTTCCCCAGCTACCTTACCACAGACTCATCTTTATGGACCCCTGTTTCTGCAGGTTCTCAAGAAGATTTCCCGTTACATCCAGGAGCAGAATGAGAAGGTCTTTGCTCCCCGAGGGCTCCTGCTCACGGATCCCGTGGAACGTGGGATGAGGGTTGTATCCTTTCAGGCTCTTCTGTGTGAGGTTCAGAGTCGTCTACACAGTGGACTTCTTGAAGATGTTGCTAGGAAATGGGTGGCTCTCTAGGGGCCTTCTGGGATTCCACACACCACTGGCTGTAGACACCCTTCACCTCTAGTTACTGGAGTCACTTTTAAGTTTCAGGCTTTGTGTTTATTGAACTGCATGCCATCAGTGCTTAAAACATGACAGTCACCATGCAAAGGCTTTGAAAAATATCATCTCATGTGACTTACATCATATCCCCAAGAGGTGGTCTCTTCTTACCCTCCCGTGTATACCAGGTTGCTGAAGGGAAGCTGGCTCAATCACTCACCTTCAAGCAGCAGACTGTCAACAGTCAGGATTTGAGTACAGGCTCTCTTAATCTGTAGCGTTGTTTGGTCCTCAAAGGGTCTGCAGGCCTTCTACAGCCTCCTTTAATAGCCTGTGTTGAGCCCCACTATCCACTGAATACCGATGAGCAAAATGAACTGCAGGTTGAGGATGCTCTATGGGTTGGCTATCTTGGTGACAGGCTGGGCAGGAGGTGGACCGGAGTTCTGCTGACCCCACTTGGAACAGTAGTTCAGGTGAACAGCTCCCCTTGCAGTAGTTAAAATAATATATTTTACAATAAAGCTGAGAGAAGTGTTCAGAAAACACAATCCCCAGAAACACACATATTTCCCCGATTCTTTTTTACTGAGTCCTTGTGTTGTGCTCAGTACTCAGGTACTCCATTTAATTTTCACAGGAACCCCAAGGCTCTGTTGGTGTCCCCAGTTTGCAGATGGGATAATTGATGGTTAGCAGGTGAAGGCACTGAACTGGGGACCACTAGGGACCAGCAAAGGGAAGTGTTTGAATCTAACACCATTTCCTGGTGCATCTGTGACTTGGGAATCCCATATGCATCTCGAAGAAAGACAGAATCTGTCCATGGGATCCCGTTGTGCGCTCAGTCCTGTGTCCTCTCAGAAACTGATAGCTGAGGCTTGCAGAAGGGTTTGGACTTCAGTCAAGCCTCTGGTCTTTGGGTATAGCTGGTTTCAGGCCACAGGCTCATTCTGGATCTGTACCCCATTTCCTGATTAGCAGCCGGGTGCTTGCAGCTCCTTAACCATCGTCCCAGATCGAGATCTCCATCTATGAGGACCGGTGCAGCAGTGGTAGTTCCAGCAGCGGCAGCAGCAGCGGCAGCGGCAGCAGCAGCGCTGGCGGGGGAGGGGCGGGGGCCCGGTGACTGGCCGAGAGTCCCTGCAGGGAGGTGTATGGCCGGAGCGAGGGGCTGGCAGATCTGCGGAGGCTGCGCTACCAGAGCACTCGCTTCTGAGTTTTTCTCTGGGCCCACCCTGCCGTGTAGCGCGGAAGGGAGGGTGACTGCCCGCTGTTCTGTGTCCCCAGCCCTTTGCCCCTTGGCAGGATCTTCTTTCTGATCCAGGGCCTTTTTTTTCCCTCCCATGAGGCTGATCTGGGTCGTCAGAGCCAGACCTTCCTAGGGTGTCTGGGGTGGGGCTGCAGGACCCAGTTTGGACAAACCCTCTCTTTCCTGCCTCCTTCCTCACTCTAAAGAGGGCCTGGAGAATTCCCACCCTGCATGATTCTTCACCCTCAAAGCCCATGTTAACCTGGACTCGGCTCCCTGGGGCTCTAAGGCCTAAGGCTACCATGGGCTCCTGCTTGTCAATGGTCCCACCTCCTCATTGGGGATCTGAGGAGACAGGTGCCCTGGGAGCTATCCAGCCGCTCCAAAGGCAGTGTCTTTGCTGTCCTTCACTCAGAGCCGAAAGTTCTCTCAGCCTTGCCAAGAAGCACCCAACTCTGAGACTTTGTACCCGCCCAGGAACTGATTTTAGGGGTTCAGCCTAGGACTCTGATGGGGTCCACTGGGGTACGGTAAAACTCTTTGGATGATTGCAGCTGGACAGAGCTTGAACTCCTGAACTGGAGCCAATTCCTGCATCATGTGCATACGTGTGGAGTGCCCTGTGTGCGCAGATGTATGTATGTATGTATGTATGTATGTATGTATGTATGTATGTATGTTTATGGGTGGCTAAGCATGTACACATGTGAGTATACAAGTGTATGAATATGAGTTGAGTGGCTGTATGACTGTACAAGTCAATGTGTGTATGAATCTATGTTTATCTGAGTGAATGAGGGAGAATGTTAAGTGCATGTGTGCAACACATGCATGCAAATTATGTATGCTTGTGCACAAGTGCATGTGTGTGATTATGTGTTTATGGAGAGAGAGAGAGAGAGAGAGAGAGAGAGAGAGAGAGACCGACTCTGACTCTCTGTGTGTGTTCTCTTTGGCTGCTGGGCTAATCCTGCCCTGTCCTGTCCCACACTAGTCTGCAGAACCTCCCTCCTGGCCCTCTGTAAGTCAATGTCTTAAAGCTGGGCTGTCAGCTTGGCTCTTCCTCCTAGCCTTTCTCCCACCTCTGGCTCTATTGTACACATTCTAATGGAGGAATGGTGGGGGTCCTAGGAGAACAAAGCCAACATTTAGGCGGTCTTTGGTGCCCCTCTCCCAGGCCCCATGACACAGCGGGGCCACAGATGCTGCAGATTCAGCCTGCCCAGGTGTCAGGACCCTGAAGCCCTGTAGATGAGGCTTCCCTGGACATTCAAGGCAAATGTGCCTTGCAAGGAAAAGCTAACGGTGCTGTGGCTCCTGAGGGGAGCCAGTTGAAGGGGAGGCATCCTGGGGCCTGAAGATGGACAGAAAGGGGCTGCCTACCTCAGTGGGCAGGAGGTGCTAGAACTAGACAGGAAACACCAGCCACTATAAGCAGCTTTCTGGAGCTGAAAGGGCCTGTTTCTCTACAGGCCAAAGCAGCAGCATGTGACAGCAGGAGAGGATGCTGAGGATGGAGAGAGCTGGCCAAGCCCCGAAGCCTCAGGGAGCCTGAGCCCTATGACCCCTGGTGCAATGAGCCCCTTCTTTCCAAGCTGCAGCCCCTGATGCCTCGCAGAAGCCTGTGCCCTCGGTAGCCTGCGGTGCGGCCAGGCATGTGTCAGCCTGTTGGGAAGGTTGGGAAGAGGCAAAATGGAGACCTTCTGTTTAATTCTTTTCCTAATAAAAGGACTTGCCAGCTTGGGGCTCCATGCTGTTTCCACTAGTCCATCCAAGGAGATCTGGGTGTGTGTGTGAGGAAGACGCAGACTGCACACAGGACTGATAAACTGTCTCCTTGGAGCATGTGGGTCAGTGAGGAGGCGGACATTCCAGGTCCTTCGACCAACCCTTAACCTTTGGTAGACTTACAACTTTGGGTGGATCTAGTGGGTTCAAATAAAAACTAAGCCCAGAGTAATTTATCAGTGAGTTAGGGAGGGCCTGTTTCTTGAGTTCTTACCCTAGGTCAGACACTGCCTGGAGTTGAGTCACACGGACCGTGCAGTGTGGAGTATCAGAAGGGGCTGGCAAGATGGCATAGCCAGTACAATGCTTACTGTATAAGCCTGATACCCCTAGTTTGAGCTCTGGAACCCATGTAAAGGCTGAAGAGCAGAACCGACACCTTAAAATTGTCCTGTTCTCCACACACGTACATCATGGAATGGTACACCCCCACCACCATGTGAATGCATTACAGTTTAAAAAATATTAGATAGCAGGTAGATATTGGAAACTAGCATAGCCTATGTCTTGGGTTCACCAAATCAAGTATTTATTAACCACATACGATGTACCGGGCACTTTGATAAAACCATATTCTAGGGGCGGGGGGATTTAAAGATTAGCTGAGTCTTCTCAAAAGGTCCAGAGAGGTTGAATAACATGCACTACCATAGAGAAGGTGGAGTTAAAGTGGATTTCCTCCCAGGTAGAAAGTTGTCTGAGGTTTCGACAGGCTGGGACATGTATACAGATCTTCAGGCCAAGAGACTATTCCAGAAAGGGCCTCATTAGACTACAGGGACCTCAGCTACTGTCTTGGGGTGGGGCCACAAGGGAGATCTCCTCTGAGGGGTGCTGAGTAGAGTTCTTGGTAGCTCAGGAACTTCCGTTTGCTGCTACTAAGGGACCCATGACTGGTGCCTGGGCCCTGGGGAGCCAGGGCCTCTACTTCTGCTCAGCCTTGAGGTGTGTGTGAGTGGGTTGGTGAACTACTCAAGTGGCAGGAAGGGTCCGGCTTGAGGTCTGCTTGGCGGGAGGGAGAGTTTGCTGTAGCATGAGGTCAGGCTTGAGCCTCAGCCAAACTGTTTAGAAAGGAAGCCCTGCAGATGGCTGGGGATTTCCAAACTGGCAAAATTCGCCCAACACCCTCCTCCCCCAGTGCTTGCCTGGCTGAGAGGCATTCAGCTCATCCACTTCCCAATGGCAAGGATAAAATGATAAAAGGACATCTGTGCTCAAGAGATGGCCCAGCAGTTGAGAGTACTTCCAGAGGGCCCGAGTTCACTTCCCAGCACCCACATGGCTGCTCAGAGCTGTAACTCTAGTTCCAGGAGACCTGACACCTTCTGACTTCCTTGGGCACCAGGCACATACATGGTTCATAGATATATATGCAGGTAAACACATACATATTTGAAGAACTTTGTTTTTTTTTTTTTTTTAAGGAAGAAAAATGGTAGTACTTGTTTGAGGCTTATTGTGTGTGCACTAGGCTAAGCCACTACATAATTCATTGCTCAGGCCCTCTGGTGAACTTTCCATGGTGTGTGTTACTATGCCCATTTTACAGAGGAGGCTCACAGTTAAACTACCCCAATTCCCATAATTAAAAAATAGCAGAGTCGCTGGAGAGATGGCTCAGCAGTTAAGGGCACTGACTGCTCTTCCAGAAGTTCCAAGTTCAATTTTCAGCAACTACATGGTGGCTTACAACCATTTGTAATGTGATCTGATGCCCTCTTCTGGTGTGTCTGAAGACAGCTACAGAATATATATATATATATATATATATATATATATATATATATATATATATTAAAAAGAAATAGAGTTTGGCTTTGAATCTAAGAAGGAGCCTTCAGACTGCAGAAAGGTGCATGGGTGAATCTAGTTTCAAGGGTCCCTTATTTACTCAGAGACTAGAGTCGTAGAGACCTAGGGCTACTTGTGTCTGGGTTCTGAGGCAGGCCTGGCACCTCCATGCCTCAGGAGCACAGAATTATGGGTGGGCCGTGTGTACAGGCATGTAGTACTCATAGGGACAGCTCAGTGAATGGCTGGGGATACCTGACTTTGCAGATCTGGTGAAGTGTGGCTTTCTCTGTTCTTCAAGTGGTGGCCTGTCCCCTCTGGCTGGTCACAGCCATATCACTACTTCTCCTTGCTAAGCAGACACAAGCCACGAAGGACAGGTCATCCCTGGTTCCCTCTGAAGGGTACAGCCATCCTGAAACACCTCAGACAGGTTTCAGTGCATGGTTTCTCTTTGCTGCATGCATTACTTTTCTTCCTTTGGTTAAAGACAGGGCCCGTGTGATATGAGGACTACAGGGTTTATGTAAGTTCGAGTGCCGCCAAGTGGTGGGATCATGTACTGCACTCAAGAGACAAAAGGCTACAGAAAAGCCGCTTCCGCCAACCACCCAAGCCAGCAGCTGTAGTGGCCTGGAAGTTGTTTGCAGCTTCTAGAGGTGTGGGTCAAGGCAGGGGTCCTGAGACAACTGCTCTTTCTCCCCCCACAGCCAGCTTCAGCTGCTTCAGGCACTGGCTGGTCTGGGAGCTCCTTTCCCACTTCCTATGAAGTCCCTGGAGGAAGCAACCTCACCTGGCCTTTTTGCCTTCTATTCCAAGGACAAGCTAGTAAAAACGTGGCTTCAAACAAGTCCTGACTTTGAGCTCTGGCTTCAAGATATCAGCCTGCATTAGAGGCAGCCTCAGCTTTCTCCACTATCAGAAAAAACAATTCGCACAACTGTTCAGACCTAAGTCTGAGACCTGGATTAAAAACACTGGCTCCACAAAAGTAATCAAATACAGCCTGAGACAAATTCAAAGACAGATGCAATTTTCTGAGGGTAGTGGAGGAGAGAGGTCTGGAGACTCTCCGGCTCCCCATGTTTCTGCTTCCAGGCTGGAGCACTGGGTCCTTACTTCTTCAAAGTTCAGTGTACTGAACACATGAGATCTATGGCTTTTTTTCTGTGTTTTATTGCTTGATAAAATTAACCAAAAAAGTTTATTTGCTCCAAGATAGGAAAAGAAAGCAAAGCACCAGAATTCATGGTTTATTGAAGATCTATTAATATGCCTCATGTTAACCCAGACAGGTGCAATTCAACATATGAAGTGTGTGTGTGTGTGTGTGTGTGTGTGTGTGTGTGTGCCTCTCCTACTTGCTGTGGATTGTGAATATTTATAAAAGTGT